TTCCTTGTACATTTATATATTTTGATTTATGTATTTCCTATTTGAATGTCTTTCTTATTTTATATCTTTTCTATGTTAGTAGTTTTGTAATTTATATTTATACCTCCCATTCATATTAATAAAATTATTTGCTCTATTTCTAAATTCTGCATGGTATCAAAGCTATGGATCTAACCCGAGCTGCCGCCGGGATATCACCCTAGCCGCTAGAACTTCCTGCAAGCCTTCTCCTATAGTTTTTTCATCCGCTGGCCCCTTCTTCATGCAGGACCTCCCGTTGACGATCCCTTCGTTGCAAGGTTCAGCCATTGGCTTCTCTGCAGGCTCTCCTATCGATGCTTCCCAACGGGCTTTTGCCGCTAAACCCTCCTACCAGAGCTTCCAGCTGCCAGGCTTCACCACCAGCCAGCTAACTCTCCCGCCAATAGGGCCTACCTTTCAGCCCGCTCATCATTGTTTTCCTTCCAGAACTGCTGCCTACAGGGCATTCTATCGTTGATCTTCCCAGCCAGATTTTCTGATGTCAGAATCATTTTGTGTTGACATCCCAACCTCACCTTTGGCTTGGTTGGAATCATGGTGGACTCCACCGCCGACTTCCTTCCGACGATGTACTTGAGTCCACCGGAGGATCGACACAGACCACAATCCCTTCGCAGACAGGAGGACTTGCAAATCATATGAACTTCCTGATCACCACCCCTAAACTCAATTGTTCTAATTTCTTCCAATATTCTCAAGCTGTGTCATTGTTCTTCAAAGGTCAAGGTAAATTCGGCCATCTTGCATGTATGATTCGTGAACCTCCAAAGACTGACTCGACGTATGCAATGTGGGAAGTGGAGAATTCCATGCTCATGTCATGACTGATTAATTCCACGGAGATCTCGATTTGCAGTTCCAATATGTTTTTTCTGTCTGCTAGTGCCCTCTGGACTGATGTTTGCGATTCCTACTTGGACGTAAGCAATTCTGGCCAATTCTATAAGGTTACTAAGAAGATCAGCGAGGCGAAACAAGGATAAAAAATTGTGACACGGTACTACGATGATTTGGTTGTCTTATGGATGTAATACAGTCTATACTACTACTACTACATTTAGGACTTTCTCACAGATCTTTCTCTTTCAAAAAATTGTGGAAGGATCGTGTGTTCCAATTCCCGGCGAACCTAAAAAAAAATCTCGATGAAGTCTGGGGACTCTCTGGGACCCCAAAATCCATGACCGTGTAACTGCCCCCCACTCGGACTATCCCCAAATCACCATACTCCATTAAGAGTCAGATGGAACATTTAATTAAGCTGCTTGGATCTTGTCAGGTTTCCTTTGGCCCGTCGACTTCCCATGTTCCTCAAGGTAACATTTCTATGTCACTCACTGCTTTTACTTTTAGTTTGTGTATTATTGATTCAGGCGCCACGGAACACATGAATGAGTCTTCACAAGTATTCTCGACATATTCTTTGTGCTCCAGGAGATATACTATTAAAATTGCTGACTCCTATTGTTCTATTGCGGGTAAAGGGTCTATTGCTCTAATAGCTGGGCTGACTCTGGGATTTGTATTACATGTTTCTTTACTGAAGTGTAACATCTTGTCGGTCGGTAAGTTGACATATGACCTTGATTGCATTGCTTATTATTTTCTCGATGTTTGTATCTTTCAAGATCTTTGTTCGGGTATGATGATTTGAACTGTTAAGCGGGTAGCCGAGCCGTACTTCTTCCAAGAAAAAGGCATTGATAATGCAGACTCAATGCCATAATTGTAGTTTTTCCGTTCCATTGAATGTCTTTTTATACTTTTACATTGTCATTTGAGTCATCCAAATTTTCACTATTTAAAACAATTATATCATTTGATGTTTACTAATAAAAGTTTGTTCAATTTTAAATGTGAGGTTTGTCATTTAGCGAAAAATTAACGTTTCACTGATTCTTAGTGACTTATGGGGACCCTCTCAAACTTCAAGCTGCACCAATAAAAGGTAATTTCTTACCTTGATTGATGACCACACTCGGATGACTTTGGTCTATATATTAAAAGACAAATCTGAAGTGGTGGTCACCTTAAAAAATTATCACTTATTCATTTTGACCCAATTCAAAACCTCTATTCAAGTCCTTAAGACTGACAACGATCCTAAATTTTTTTAATTCTATACTGGGATAATTCTTGGTAAGAACATCCTCCATTATAGCTTCTGTACGGATACTCCTCAACAAAATATGGTAGCCAAGTGGAAAACCCGACATCTTCTTGAAGTTGCTCGTTCCGTTATGTTTCAATTTAATGTCCTGAAACATTTTTGGAATGAAGTGGTCATTACCGCCACATCTCTCATAAATTGTCCCCTTAAAAATCCACAACTTCCGAACTCCATTAGTAGTCTTGATGTCGTGTTTTCCCACTAATCAGTTCTTCTCCACATTAGACTCCAGCCTCGACTCGTAATAAACTTGATCTCCGGTCAATCAAATGTGTCTTACTCGGATATATGACCACTCAAAAAGGCTATCGATGCCTTGATCCTACCACTAATAAATTCTATGTAGGTGCTGATGTGTCCTTTTTTGAAAGTGTTCCCTACGTCCATAACATTGCCTCAAGTATGGGGAGTTAGATTTTCTGGACACTGTTCCTTTTCCGAATTTATTGGATGTTCCACATATTCCTACTTCCCCTCTTTTTGAGGAACCCTCTTTCCTGCTAGATTCGCCACCAACCAGAACAACATCGACTCTATTCACTTTACGTGTCTACACTTGTCGTACCAAACCCTCGGTTGAAACTTGTCACAATTCCCCTACTCTTGAGCCCGCTGCTTCGCTGTTGGTCTTGGAATCCACTCCAACCGACATCCCTTGAATGACACTCTCTCAACTTCCGGGAATTCCTCCTGCTTTGAATGAGGAGGTGAATTCTAACAATGAGGTACCCCATCAGGCATACTTTCTTTATCCCATGGAAAAATACATCTCATTTCACAGCTTAACACCTACCTACAAAGCATTTGTCACTTTCTTGATAGATCGTTGTCTTCCATCCACTATTGAGGCAGCATTGGCGGACCCTTTCTGGAAGGCGACAATATTGGATGAGATGAATGACCTTCGGTGAAATCATGTGTAGGATGTTGTTGGTCTTCCTCGAGGAAAGAAAACAGTGGGTTGTTGGTGGATTTTCAACACCAAATTTAACTTCGATGGATCCTTTGAACGCAACAAAGCGCTTGGTCTCCAAAACCTATTCACAAACCTATGGAGTTGACTATAAGGAGACGTTTACTCCGGTGGCTAAACTGAGCACCATTTAGGTTCTATTATCTCTTGTCTTGAATCTAGATTTGCCCTTACTGCAACTCGATGTCAAGAATACTTTCCTTAATGACAATCTCGCAAAGGAGGTATATATCTCTCCCATCGGGCTTTGACTCAACTTCTTTTCGTGGACAAGTCTGTCTAGTATGAAATTCTATTTATGGAGTGAAACAATCCCATCGGGCGTGGTTCAAGAAGTTTACACAAGTTGTGTCATGGTTTCTCTCAGGCCCAATCTGGTCACACAATATTCTTCTGCCACTCATCTGAAGATCGACTTGCCATCCTCATCATCTATGTCGATGATATTGTACTCACAGGTGATGACCGACCAGCCTCGGAACCTCTCAAAAGCATCCTGACTGCTTCTTTTGAGATGAAGGACCTCAGGTATTTCCTAAGTATGGAAGGAACTCGGCCCTCTCTGGGCGTTAGCCTTTTCCAACGCAAATATGTGACAAATTAATTGACTGAGATAATGCTACTTTTTTACAAACTGGTATCTAGTTCCAATGGATCCCAATGAGAAGTAGGCAGATGTTCCTAGTGTAGTTCCTGTAAATAAGACACACTGTCAACGCCTAGTAGAGAAACTCATTTACCTAGCACATTTATGCCCCAAAGATTTGTTATGCCGTTGATACTGTGAGTCAATTTATGCATGATCCCTACAAGCACCACCTCACCGCTATATATCAGATCCTCCATTACTTGAAAGGCACTCCAGGCTCAGGTTTGTTTTCTCGTCACACCTCTCGTTCAGTTGTAGTTTATATGAACATTTATTAGACCAGGTCTGCCCATGATCACCGATCTACCTTTGGTTACCGCTCTTTCGTGTGAGAAAAACTTGTCACATGGAAAAGTAAAAACAGCCGTGGTCTCCTGTAGCAGCCCAGAAGCCAAGCTTCGGTCTATGTCCCTAGGAGTGTGTGAAGCTATCTGGTTGCACATCATGCTCCATGAGTTACGTATGCCGATCTTCATTCTTTTGCAGCTATTGCGTGACAATAAACCACCATCAGCTTTACCCATAATTCTGTTCAACATGATCGTACCAAGCATATGAGGATTGACCGTCATTTTATCAAGGAACAACTTTATTCCAAGGAAATTTGTGTTTCATTCGTCCCTTCTACTGACCAACTAGCAGATATTCTCATGATGAATCGTCCTCGGCAGTTGTTTGACGAGTTCAAATTCAAGTTGAACATGATATACATCTATGCTTTAACTTGGGTGGAGTGTTACAAGTTATTCACATTGATTTAATTTCTTTCCTGATTTTTTCTGTTTTATCTATTTCCTTTCTGTTTTATATATTTCCTTTTTGTATGTTTTCCCTTTTTTATATATTTCCTATGTTAGGAGTCATGTTATCTATGTTTATACCTCCTTTTTCATATCAATAAGATTATCCTACTATATTCCTAAATTCTGCACTTCTTAATCTTTAATGTTGCTATCTGAAGTTTGTCTTTAATAGTTTTTGCACGCCTTGTAATGCGATATGTTGAAACATAAAGCTGTTGAGCATGCGACGGAGCACCAGAAAATATTAAAAAAAATAAAAAGATGTTGAGAATTCTTGACTATATTAACTTGGATATTGTTCATGCACTATTGACTTAGGATTTGTTTTCCCTCTCAATTTATAACTATTCTAGACGATTGCAGGACAACGCTGTTGAAAGTTATAAGCGTGCATGCAAGATCTTTTCTGTTGAGTCTGATATGGTATTTTCCCATCCTAAATCCCAATGTTTGTTTATAATAAAAACGACAAAATTTTGATGAAAAATCTGTTGAGTTTGGTATCTTGTGATTAGGTCCGCATTTGTGATTTCTCTGGACAAACAAATCTTATATTGATGAATGAATGGAACAGATTGCCGCAAGATGGTCAGCGGCTATTAGATCAGGAGGTAGTAAATCATCTAAATGACTTGTTACCACTTATTTACTTTCCATGAGAAAAGCTTTTCCTTTGTAAATTTTATTGTTCATCAGTTTTGTTTTTAGGTTTTTATTCCTCTTCGTTTGAATACTAACTGAATGTTTCATGCTTTTTAATGCTGCTATTATTTATTTAATTGTATAGTTGTTATTCTGATATTATAGAACATTCATATTTTTTGATATAATAGAACCTTCACATTTCTTTAGTAGTTCATCATTGCGGTTGTCAACATGGAGGATCCTGATAGTTAAGAAACAAATATTGGCTTGGGAAACGTTACCCTTGATAACGTGCATGGATGGAATAAAGATTAAAGCTTTTCAGTTGCATGACTTTATTTATCTTACTTTCTTATTGTTTCAAATGAAATGGTGTTTATTTTGCTGTTTGATCATGGAAAGATATTATGAAGCTGGATGTTGGATTCAACGAAGCTCCTGTTTTCAACTCTTGCTGTTCACTTTTCTGCACTGGACATGTTCGATTTGATTGGACGGACATATTTTCGTTCCTTGGATGTATTTTCATTGAATGCTATTTATCTTTAACATTATTTAATGGGCTTTGTGTGGCTAGATGCATATATCCTTCTTTGAACTAATTTTTACTGAGTTGCATTTGATGTTTTTTTTATAGTCTGGATAAATCCTTCTTTTATCTGCTGTTCTTTTTTTTCTTAATACCACTTTTTTCCCAGTCCTTCACTTTAGTTATATCTTTTTACGTAATAACATTATTTTTATCCATTGCAGATGCTCGTGCCATCTGAGTGTAACAGTTACCTCTTGGGCATTTCTCTGCCCTCATGCCTTTATTGATTAGTTGTCATAGACATGCATAATAGAAATATCATTTTTGCTATATTTTCATTTCATACATTTTCTTTGACTCGAAGATGATTAAACATGATATAGTAGCATTACAAGACTCCGAGAAGTTTGTTGAAGAAAATTGGAGCTACAAAAAGCTATGCAATTTTATTATTATCTAGTTCGTATTTTTAGCATATGCAACAAATTAAACTTGCAACCATGGACTGTTTCTGAGAGAAGTCTTGCAACTGCTTTATTGTGATCTTTGATTATGTTATCATGCAGAGTGTTGCAATATCTATAGATGGTTAGCTTTTCTAACACAAAAAAACTAACGTAATTTAATAAGAAATGAAAAAAAAAAAATTTGATTTTATGGATCAATGTTCTGTAAACTAGTTGCTCATGTTGTTTTGCAAAATCTCATAGAAACAAGCTATATGTCACAGTAAATTTCTTACTACTAATGATGCAAAATAGCATATAGAAGAAATCCAAGCTTGCATGAATTAAGTGATTGCTCTCAAAAAAAAAAAAAAAAAGAAAGAGAAAGGAAGAAAAAAAAAAGAGGAGACAAAAGTCCTGTGATCACATAAACACAACTGATAGTGAGATTTCTTGCTAAGAATTTATAGTCCAATTATGTAAAATATTTGATTAAAGCTATTCACACAATTTAATGTAGACCAAAATATAAAGAAGATGAAAAAGTTAAGAATATAGAACATTAAAGCATGAAATAATAAAAGGTTTGTAATGAAGAACCTACTTGGTTTGTTTAGCACGATTCCACTATTTTTTTAAGCATCTTAATTGATTTAAGTGAACACGTCTAGTTATTTGCATTTTTATCAATTATGAATAATGCAACATGGCCCAAAGGTCACTATGAAGTTAATAAGTACCACGCAATGCATCTATTTGAAGGATCACATAAATTATTAAAAAATTATGAATAAAGAACATATAAAAATATAAAAGATTATTAAATTAATTGGTAAACCATCATGATAATAACATCAACAAGACCAGTGCTTAAGTTTAATTGCTCAACTGCTCAACCACATAAATTTAAATTTTTAAAAGTTTAAGAGTTTTATAAAAAATTAAAGTTGTCATCTAAAGAATTATCATCAATCAAAACATTCTTATTTTCGTCATTAGTATCATCATTATCTTCTATATTTCATTTGTTATCTTCATATTTAATTGCAAAACTATTAACTTTAGACGAAGATTCATGCTCTTGACCTTTAGATTGCTTTTAAATATTTTGGCTTTTTTCATAAATGCTAGTGATTTTTGCGAGTGCTCTATGTTAGAAATTACTCTCCAATAACTAATTTATTATTTTTATTTGTCTCATCATCTTTTTTGTAAAGCTATTTATTGGCATCATTTATATTAATTAAAGAGATATGATCAATAACAATACGATTGTATATGCCAATTAAGGCTTTATTATATTTCACATAAACTAAATTTTTGATGAGATCATATTTCATCTTACTTTTTTTTCTGTTATTAAGCTTTAGTTAAAAATTATTAAAATTTTTAAAATATAAAATTTCATGATATTTGTGAAGACACCAGTTTCTTATACTTAAGTTTTCAAATATATCTCACTCTCATTCACTTTCAGTGAACTTTGGTTAGGCTAAACACTCTAGGCTGCAAAATTTTGTGCCATAGAATGCTAATTTGAAATAATGCAATTATATTTTTCTTTTTTAACCAACCTAATGAAACCGCAAGGAACTACTTTTTCTTAAAAGACTTCATCACAATCAATAACCACAACAACTACATCCGTCCCAACCAATCATGCCTTTTTTGCTTCTTGTTTGGCCATCAATCCCCTAACTTGAATGTTTCCTTAGACAATCTAGTTCAAAAGTTTGAATCTAGCTTAATAGTTTCCTTAGGCTTCATGAAATGCCTTTATCAAAGCAGCTTTCTTACAAAATCTTGTTGTAAGTTTCCTGGTCTGCACTTCTAGATGCTGATAGATGGCAGTAATTCAGTTGGCTGCTGGTTTTTCTTGCTCTCGAACATGGTTGGATAGCAAACCTGCAATAATTAATGAAACAAGAAGTTAGGTAGATTATTGTTTCCAAGAAAAAACTATCAGAAAACAGAACCTGTTTTTGAGTTCTTTTCTTGATGAATAACATGATTGCCATTTTAGGATTCTTGAGTTTCTATGATGTAGGACTTCAAAATGGTCTCAGAAAATTAATGGGATGGACTCTGCCTTGATTTTGATTACTTGGGACTAGAAGAAAGTTGGACGACATTTCTCAAATTTGGAAACAGCCACTGAACAACTACTATTATATTGATTTCAGGTGTTGGAATCAATTTTGGCAAAGTATTGAACTCCAATATGATTGCTGAACTTGAAACAATTTGTCTTGCTGCTATTTTGGATTTCTTGTTGCAAGATATTGGTAAAGAACCTAATACCGGAGGAAGTAGGAAGTCAGCGGAAACTCAAAAAAAATAAACCTTTATTAATGTAGAATTAGGGAAACAACATCACACAACTGGAAAGAACAATACGACACTACGCTCCTGCTAAGGCCGAAAGGGAGGACCAAGGGTGTTGGTGGCATTGGTGAAATAGTACGGGGATGGGAAGGGGTGGAGGTTGCGGGGTAGGTTGGAAAAGGGGATTTGGAATGATGGGTAGTGGCCGATTTGATAGTCATAGGTGTGGGGCGATGGGGAAAGTGGTGGGAAAGGCAGGGGGAGATTTTGGGTGTTGGTGGGGGTAACCTGAACAACAAGGAGAGCTGCCTGGAGTGGTCGACGGGATGCAGGTTGGTGGTCGGAGGGTTGATAACAATGTTTGACGGCTGGGGAGGGGAGGACAGGGTGCTGATAGGTGGATGGGAGGGGTTGAAGTGGGCGGCGACACATAAAGGATGTGCTATGGGTGGTCGGCGGCTTAGGAGAAGGGAACTAGAGGAGCGGAGAAGAATTTTAGGAAAATACAAAACCTTGGAATATGATACAACTGGAGCACCACCGCCTCAGATACAAACCCTAGATCAGGGAGAAAAACTCTCACACGGGAATCTGGAATTTGAAAATATCAAAAATTGAACCCTAATTCTCTGAAAATAGCAATAAATAGACTTCACTTGGAGGAGAAAAGGAAAGTAGGAAATGAAACTCTCACATAGAAGGAAGGAGTGGGGAGGTAGGAATATTATAGAAAATAACCATTAAAGATTTTTCCATATGGAGAAAAGTACATAAGGAAGGGTGGTAGTCCCACCCTTTTTACAGAGTTTGCGAATCTTCCTGCTTGGAACGATCCACTGGGCTTGCTGGAAAAATTGGCAGTCAGTTCAGACGGCTGGTGTTTTTAACGCCTTGTGTCAGTGGCGCCTTCAGCACCTCGCATCTGTATCCCAGGGCTAGGGAAGCTTCGACCTCATTCTTCGAAGCTCCAGGCTCTTCAAAGTACAGTGTCAGGTTGACAACGTTGAACGTGGTTGAAATGTTGTAGTCTCCGGGCAAGTCAATCTTGTAAGTTGTCATTCAGCTTCCGTAGTACTCTGAAAGGTCCATCCGCTCTTGACTTAAGCTTCTTGAATGATCTTACGGGAATCTTTCCTTTAACAGAATTCACAAGAGGTCGCCATCATGAAATGTTACTTTTTTTTGGATTTATTTGCATGTTCTTGATATTTGCGGTCCTGCTTAACAATCTTCTTGCCAACCTTTTAATGGAGCTTTTGAATATTGTGGACTCATTCTGTGGCATCCTCACTGAATTCTGAAGATGGCAGAAGTGGCACCAACTCAAGTTGTTTGAGTGGATTGCGTTTGTACACAATCACGAAGGGAGCGTGTCCAGCAGTCCTGCTGATGGATCGGTTGTAGATGCACTCTACTTGGGCTAGAATAAGATCCCACTGTTTTATATTTTTCCCCACGAAGCACCTTAGGAGATTACCTAGGTTTTTGTTTACTACCTCTATCCGCCCGTCTATCTTTAGATGAGCTGTTGAGTTGAATTGGAGCTTGATGCCTAGCTTTCCCTCTAGTGTCCTCTAGCAGTCGCTCGGGAATTTAACGTCTCTGTCGAAGGTGATGGTCCTGAGAATTCCTGCAACCTTATAATCTCCTTGAAGTATAGATC